TATATATATATATATATATATATATATATATATATATATATATATATATATATATATATATATTATGTGTATTATACATATAGATAGATAGATGGAGCCCATCCAAATAATAATTGAGGGCCTCTTTACAAAAGAAGTGAGCTTTGTGATGTCCTTCAACACTTAGTTTTAAATTACAGTGTATACTTATAGAAAACAATTCCAATGCAAGTCTCCTCAGAGGACTCTCCCTTTTCAAGCACATGCTCTCAGCATGGTGACTCAACATAGTCATTCTCCAGCCCCCTGCGGAAGTGAGCAGTCAGGGTGCGGCTAATGACAATGACCCGAGGCGCCATGCAGTCCTCCCGCCTGTGAAGGATGTTCCATATGAGGATGGCGGCTGCCAGTGTGGCCAGGAGGCAGGCCCCAATGTTCAGGTAGCAAGACCAGGACAGGTTGGTGTAGGGCCCTATACGGTAGAAAGTTACCAATCCAATGACCAGAACAAAACCTGCAAGCAGAGTGAGAGAGAGACACTTTTTCAAAATGGGTACTTCTCTTGAATTTCTCTAGCACATTTCACCCCAAAGGATCCCACACTGCTTCAGAAATTATACACAGGGATCACTTTACCCAAAAACATGCAGCCTCTCTGGAGTGAAACCCAGGAGGTTTCTAGCAGAGAATAGAAACACTATACAACAGTTTAGGACAGTATAAGGACAGAAAAAGATAAATTATCCAGATGAAACTACAAGAAAAATTTAGGAAAATGGAATGTAATATTCAAGCTTGATTTGGCCAGGTTTCTGGAGATAACACTTCTAAACTTATTAAATGTGCCATCAGAGGCGCTGCCTTTCTAATGTGGTGGTGGGTGCTTGACACCCCAGCTCTGCCACAGGCCCCGCCCCTGCTCCACCACTTCCCCCAAGCCTCTACCCCCACCCTGCCTCTTCCTGCCCCGTTCTGCCCCCTCCCCTGAGCATGCCCGGCCCTCGCTCCTCCCCCCTCCTTCCCCAGTATTTCCTGCACGGCACGGAACAGCTGATCTGCAGTGGGTGGGAGGCAGTGGGAGAGAAGGGAAGGTGCTGATCGGAGGGGCCGCTGGTGGGCGGGAGGCACCGTGGGGAGGTGGGGCACTGGATGCTGGTGGGTGCTCAGCACCCACCGTATTTTTTAATGTGGGTGCTCCAGCCCTGGAACACCCATGGTGTCAGTGCCTATGTGTGCCATAGATTCTTTAACATCCATATGGTCAGAACCTCATTGTATATCTTGACCAAAAGAGTGGGTACCTGGATTGCCCCCTCCACATCAGGCCTATTTCTTTCCATGCTGATTTAAAATATCCTGTGCCCCACCAATCCTCTTTTGTATGCTTTTTAGTACTTGTATCTCATTGATACTATTGGTGACAAAGGCCTATGATTTTTCATGCCGCCTTTCCTACTCTTCCTGCAGTGCAGCAAGTTGGTATATTGATTAAAAATATGTATAAAGCAACTTCCATCATTGAGAAAACTACATTAATTCAGAAATACATCTTTAAAAGTATTTAAAACAAACCACCCATATAAACTATAAGTAGGTAGAGAAGGTACATAATAGAAAGAATAAAAATATACTGTAGAGAAAGGGAGATGGAGAATATAAGACTATGGGGGACCCCACCATCATGGTGGTAATTAAACTTTTGAAAAAAATGTTTTCAGGTTAAAAGCCGGGAGGGAGGAAAATCGAGGGAGAGCAAGGTCCAGCACCAGTGACAACCAAAGCAAAGTCTTTGGCTATGTCTACACTAGCAAACTTAAAGTGGCACAGCTGTATCAATGCTGTAAGATTGCTCGTGTAGCTGCTCTATGCCGATGGGAGAGAGCGCTCCTGTCGACATAATAAAAACACCTAAATGAGCAGTGGTAGCTATGTCAGAAGGAGAAACTGTCCCGCCAACATAGTGCTGTGCACATGAGTGCTTATGCTTGCAAAACTTATATCAATCAGGCAGTGTTTTGTTCACACCCCTGAGTGACATAAGTTTTGCCAACATAAGTGGTAGTGGTAGTCACCTAATAACTTAAAAGACAATGGTAAAATCACTCAAAGACTGGTGATGTAAGTGTAATAATAACACTGCACTTCTCTAGTGCTTTTCTTTCAAAGATCTCAAAGTGCTTTACAAACAGTAAAGAGTGAAATTCTCACCACACCTCCTGTGAGGCACCATAAGTAGTAAATAATATTCTTCCCATTTCAAACTGAGGAAACTGACAGGTGAAGTGATTTATCTAATCATACAGGAAATCTGTAGTGTAGAGTAAAGGATAGGACTCAAATCTTGTGGCTCCCAGTCTCATGTGTGTTAACAAGACTGCCCTTCCTGAAGGATGCATCAATAATGCAAAATTGCTTTACAGCCCTCTATGCTTCCCTTCCTCTCCTCCCATTTAAAGCTAGTTACCAACTTTTAAGAGAGGTAATTTGTAGATCAAATTAGTTTGACAAGAACTTATACAAAGAGGCAAATATGTCTTGCTTACTAAGTAAAACACAGCTTCCTCTTCTCTCAAACACTTCCTTAACCACCACTATAACAGAAGAAATTAACATGGACAAAAGGACCCCATAATGGAGGAAGACTGAAATAAACAAAGGTCAATAAACAGCCAAAGAGGGATCTACAGATACTATCTCACTAAGTTCATGGGCAAGGAAAAGTCATGCATGAGCCAGTCTTTCCTAAGTTTCCAGTGTCTGCACGCTATCTTTCTGCATTAGCAGCATTGCTTGGAAACAGTGTTATCACAGAAGGTTTGCCTTTCTATTGTATATAAAGTCATCCTAGAAGTGATTGGAGATGCCATCACTAGATACAGATCCCTCACAGGGAGCACTAGTTGGGAGTATATCTCCCAGTGTTAGAAAGTAGCGGGCAACAGCTGTTAAGGTTTTCACTGTGCAAATAAGTTTTCTTTTCATTGAAGAGTTTCAGACACTAATTTATCTCTGGTGCAACTCCACTGAAGTCAGTTATATAGTTATATAGAGCATGGATTTGGCCCCATATTTTTTCTAGAGCTTTTAAAAAGGTATTCTTTCAAGTCGATCTGCTTCTAGGTGGGGCAGCCCCAGTTTGTCCTTGTTTTCTGTCCTTTCACAATCGCTTCTATGAAATTCTCTGCTCACCTCCACTTTTAACTTACAACACCTTGTAAACTATGGGGGTGTGAATTGCAATGTTGCACTGTAACTACCTCATGTAGACCCTGCTGTTGGTAGTCCATCGCTGACAATTACAATATTGTCACAGTTCTCCTCTATGGCTATGCATATGACTCCGAAGTCCGAACCCTGATGCAACCCGGCCACACTGAGGGCATGGGAAATCTGTATTTATGATGTTTGATGATGCAGCTGTGTGGCACTTTTCATGTGCAGCCTGGAGATGAATTTGTCGATTCTGCTCAAACCTGTTACATGCTGATCTTGTCAGAGACCACCAGTGAGTCCTATTCTGAGCCATTTGCTCAAGTTCTTTGGGATTGATGCCAGCCCATTGGAGACTGCTCTTCAGATTATCTTTTACTCTTAGGGGAATTCTGTGCCAAAAATTAAAAATTCTGCACACAATATTTTTAAATTCTGCATATTTTATTTATCAAAATAACACAATATAATCATACCAGTTTCAATTATTTTTGGTCATTTATTTCAAAATACCTGTCTGCAAGTATGTTTGTAACAATACAGAAAACAAAAAAGATACAGGAAATTTTTTTGACAAATAGATTCCTTACTTGGCATATTAATACAGAACTCTGAGTAATAATTCATTTAAACTACAATACAGAACCGTGTTTCCCGCACCCTTCAGAAGCAGTGCAAAGGCTTGGGGGAGTCAGGGGTAATGGAGAAGCTGAGGGAGAGGGAAGTAAATTGCTGGGAAGGAGCCTCAGTGTGAACTTGGAGGGTTGTTGGGTATGGATGGAAAAAGTATGGAACAGGTTTTTTGGGGGGTAGGGAGGGATTGTTAGGGAGCTTCCTCCATGCAGACCCTGGCTGACCCCTAACCTCTCCCCTTCAGTCAGGCACATCTAGCCCTGCCCCCATGTGTCCTTGCACCCCCCTCCACATGTTTCTCCATCCCCACTCAGACACCCACTCCCCCCATCCCCATGTGGCCCAGCATTCCCTTCCCCTGTCCCTATGTGGCTCTGTACCCTCCCCCATTTCCATGTGTTTCTGTGCCCCCACCTAGCCACTCCCCTGTCCCTATGTAGCTCTGCACCGCTTCCCCATCACCATGTGGCCCTGCACCTCCCTCCCCCCGTGGCCCTGTGCCTCCACTCCCATTCAGCAACTGCCCCAGTCTGTCCTCCCCCCCCCATCAGCCCCTGTCTGACACCCGCCCCAGCACCCCACGCTCTCTGTCTCCCCAGAGCCCCTGTCTCCTGACCTGGCCTGACAGGCGCTGCTAAGAAGGGAGGCTCTTTCTCTTTCCTAGCTGGCTGGGAGCTGCTGCTGTGTTCTGTTGCCACAGCTCCCTCTGGTGGGCAAAAGGTGGAACTGCAGAAGTTATTTTCTGCTGGAAGCTGCTACTGTTATTGCGCCACAGTGCCCTCTGGTGGGGAAGAAGGCGGAACTGAAGCAACATTTCAGCAGAAGCTTTTTTTCTGCGCAAAAATTTAAAAATATGCACAGGTCATTAATTATGCACGCAATAGCTCAGAATTCCCCCAGGAGTAATCTTTGAAGCACTTATATGGACGACCCTTCTTTCTTTTGCCCTGACTCAGATCTGTTTTGGAAGATGGTGGTCTTCCATTCTGATGACGTGTCCGGTCCCCTTAAGTTGTGCTCTCAGTAATATTTCCTCAATGCTGGTTGTGTTTGCTCTTTCAAAGACCTTAATATTGGTCACTCTGTCCTGCCAGCGAATGCTCATTATTGAGTGGAGGGAATGCATGTGAATTGCTCAAGCTGTTTAATGTGACATCTATAAAGAGTCCACGTTTCAGATCCATACAGGAAAGATGTTAGAACCACTGCACTATAGATCTTCAATTTGATGGAGCGACAAATGTTGTGTTGGTTAAGGACTTTTGTTCGGAGTCTGCCAAGGGCCGGCTGGCTTTACTAATTCTGGAGGAAATTTCCTTATCAAGGGAACCATCACTTGAGATGGTACTGCCCAAATACTTGAACTGATCCATATTTTTCAGCTGTGTGCCTTGGATGAAGATGGCTGGCACTGGGGCATTGGAATGAGGTGCTGGGTGGAACAAGACCTCTGTCTTCCTGAGACTGATGGCGAGGCCAAAGATCTGGGATGCTTCAGAAAATCTATCAACGATGACCTGAAGGTCATCATATCTATGAGCCATCAAGGCAAAGTCATCTGCAAAAAGTGCCTCGCCGAGAAGTCTCTCCAGTGTCTTGGTCTTAGCATTGAGTCTTTGAAGATCAAAGAGGCAGCCATCGAGTCGATAGCAGATGTATATCCCCTGATCCAAGTCCCTTGTTGCATGGCTGAGAACACAAGCAAAGAACAAGTTGAGCAAATATGCAGCCTTACTTCACTCCATTCAAGATTTCAAACACACCAGAAAAGTCACCACTGGTGAGCACTTGCACTGTCATGTGGTCATGGAACAGACAGATGATTTATATGAATCTTCTTGGGCAGCCCAGTTTATGCTGAATAGCCTATAGACCCTTTCTGTTGACTGTATCTAAAGCTTTGGTCAAGTCACTGAAAACTGCATACAGGTCCATGTTCTGCTCTAAGCATTTTTCCTGGACCTGCCTTATGACAAAGATCATGTCCATAGTACTACAACCTGGTCTGAAACCACACTGCACTTCTGGCAGATTCTCCTCAGATAAGTTTGCAATGAATCTGTTCAATAGAATGTGAGGTAGTATTTTCACTGCTGTACAGAGGAGAGCAATGCCTCTATAGTTTCCGCAGTCAGCTTTGCTGCCTTTCTTTTGTAACAGTGATACAGTAATAACATCTTTGAAGTCTTGTGGCATTTCTTCTTCCTCCCAGATGCTACTCAAGATGTCATGAAACACCTCGATGGCTTTGGGGCCTGCTACTTTATACAGTTCTGCTGGAATACCATCCTTTCCAGAGGCTTTGCCAGAGTTCAGTTGTTTGATGGCTTTCACAATTTCTTCAACTGATGGAGGGAGGTTGAGGGTTTCTTGGGTAAATGATTAAGGACACGCTGATCAACTGTGCATGGTCTATTGAGTAGACTATTGAAGTGCTCAGCCCATCTCTGTACAATTCCCTTCTCGTCTTTGATGAGGGTTGTGCCATCTGCCGACTTCAAGGGGGCTGTGCCAGTTTTAGATGGTCTGTAGACTGCTTTGAGAGAGTCAAAGAACACCTTTGCTTTTTTGTATCTGCATAATGCTGAACTTCTGCAGCTTTCCTCTCCCACCATTCACTCTGCATTCTCCTCAGTTCAGACTGGACCTTGTTCTATAGGTACTTAAACTAATCTTTCTTTGAGATGGAAGTAAATTCATTTTGCCATTCAATAAATGCTTTATGCATGTCACTTAGGAGTTTGGAAATGTTCTCGTTGTTCTCATCAAACCAATCCTGATGCACCTTTATTTATTTATTTTTTTGCCCCAACACTGATTTAGTTGTGTCAATAATCACGTTTGTCAATAATCACTATCCTAGCAAGCACTGCTCAGTCGCCTAGGATGCTGCCGAACTTTTTCGCTGCCCCGGGGACGGAGCTGAATGGCCACTAATCCCAAGGTCGCCTACGTGCAGGATTGTGGCTACAACTGCCAGTGGTCATTTCCACCTGTCACTTTGCTACGCCCCCATCGCCGCAGGACTTGGATTAATGATATAATGTTAATGATGATAAGGTTTGATAAAATTATGTTAATAGGATGAGAGTTGTGAGAAAACCTGTGCAGGAAATTTTTGAGTGAGAAAGCCATTGCACAGAGGCAGTCCCACTCTCTCTGCCACAGAAGCCAGATTCCAGCGGCACAAAGAATCGTTACGGCTGGGGACTTCCTTAGCTGCAGGTGGTGACCGGGACATCTTCAATGCCTTGTCATGCTCTCCGTACCCTCCAGCATGTTGCTGAACCGCCTGTCATGGCCGTTGAATCACAAATTAATTTCCTTTGCCCAGTCTGCCAGAACAGTCTTTGCATGCTAGAGAAAGGCAGTTTCCCTATTTCGCCAAGGGTAAAAGACCCTTTGGCTACCCTGTTAGGGTGAACTGAAAGGTACTTACATCAAGTTAATGTAGTCCTGGTTGAAGTGGGACTGTGTTAAGGTGAACTAGGTATCTTTTAGTTTATGCTAGCAGGGTCTACAGAGGGCAGTTATACCCAATAGTTTATGGTGTTCTGCAGCTCACACCCCCATGTAGACAAACCTATAGTTAAGATCATTCAAGCTATGTCTTTATTTTAATTTCCAGTCTTCTCTCTCGTTTGGGGTACAAAATGACAATCACTTGATGGCTTTATTGCCCTAAAGATTTTGAGATCCAGCCTGCAGTGGACTTTTTGCATAGTGATCAGCACACTCAGAATGCTGACTTCATCAGAATAACTGTTTCACCTCTAAGTTTATCTATGAAGAAAACCTTGTAAAGACCCCAGCCAGTATTCTTTGTGCACTCAAAACTCCCATTGAAGTTGATGGGAATTGTTTGGTGTGCACAGAATGCCACATGGAACTCTAAAATTGTAATAAACTAGGTTTGCAATACAGATTTTTTAAAAATAGATACTTAATAGCTTTAATCTCCCCTTTTTGTAATACCTTTTTGGATTGCTTTTGATTCTCTGCTGACTTTGGTGTTTGTTAGGTTATTGTTACTTTTGCTTTTAAGGCTTTATTTAAAGGCATTTTTTGTTAATAATAATTTTTTGTTAATAATAATGGCACACAGGAAGGCTGTGGAAGCCAGAAATTAAAACCACATTGCTTTAGTCCCCCAGTCTAATGCTTTAACCACAAGCCTCATTTTCCTCTGAATTCAGTGATGTTACTCCTGACATATACTGATGTGAGGAAGGAAAATCAGGTCCATTATTATTTGTGGAACGCATGCCTCATTTTTTTTAAACTGACCTCTTAGAGGTTGATTTACCTGTCTGTAAAATGGAGATGATAATTCTTTCTTTTTCCCACCCTTTGTTTGTCATGTCTATTAAAACTGTAAACTCTTTGGGGGGAGGGACTGTCTCTTAGTATGAGTTTATACAGTTCTAGCTTAATTGGGTTCTCATCTCAGTTGGGGCCTGTACACGCTACTGTAATACACATAAGACCTGAAATTATTTTAACTGATGTTTGTAAGCTAGACTAGAATTCAGTTTGTTGGTGTCCCTTTTAAGTAGGAAGAACATTGGGCCTAAACTACTTGATAGTGTGCCTTTATAAGTAAATAAAAAGTACCATTATATACGTTTATAATACTTAAGGCCAGATTCTGTGGGTGGGGGCATGTTGGTTCAGGAAGCCCTTTCCCTTCCTTTCATGCCTGCACAGGGCTAACCAGAACCTGCTGCGTATGCTGGCCTAGATGCTCTTGGGCATGAGAAGGCAGGGCCATGGTCTAACCAATCCAGCAGAAGATTGGTGCTGACACCAGGAAGTATATGCTAGATGCGGCTCCTCAAAGGTTACACCACATGGTTCCCTTAGTAACCCTGGATGCTTCCAGGAACTGCCACTCATGCAATACACCTCCCGCTGCTGTAATGCCCTCTCTTTAATAGGCAGCAGGTTTAAAACAAACAAAAGGAAATATTTCGTCACATAACGCATAGTCAACCTGTGGAACTCTTTGCCAAAGGATGTTGTGAAGGCCAAGGCAATAGCAGGATTCAAAAAAGAACTAGATAAACTCATGGAGGATATGTCCATCAACGGCTATTAGCCAAGTTGGGCAGGGATGGTGTCCCTAGCCTCTGTTTACCAGAAGCTGGGAATGGGCAACAGGGGATGGATCACTTGATGATTACCTGTTCTGTTCATTCTCTCTGAAGCATCTGGCATTGGCCACTGTCGGAAGACAGGATACTAGGCTAGATGGACCTTTGGTCTGACCCAGTATAGCCATTCTTATATTCTTACATTCTCTCTCCTCCTCACATGGCTGTGGCTTCTAAAATTGTGGTAGAACCTTGCATGTTTACAGTACTACACACATTGTAGCAGTAGCTATTTCTCAGCGATTTAAATACTTCATTGTAAGACTGAAAACACTACTCCAAAGGGAATCAAGAAGAAAACACAGTTAACTGTATTGTGCTAAGCTCCTCTAAATATGCCTGCATCTGCAATAGGAAGTAGTGCACCATGATATATCATCTGTCTCGCCCAATTTATAAATATGAAGGAGGCATTACTGCAATAAATTCTGCTACTCCTGATGTAGCCATTTGGCTTGATCAACTTCAGGTGAAATTGTAGTTGCTGCTCTACACCAGTCATACAAAAGAAGAAGAAGAAAAAGATCTATCTTGTAAGCTTTTTTCCTTTCTGTACAAAGGATGCAGAGATTATGAGTTGCCTGTTTTGCCGATATGTCACAAGGCGACATGCTGTACAAGTTAAGGTTCATAAGTTAACCAACAGTTTCACCCAGCGAATGCGTGATAGACTTTGAAATGCTGATTAGAGATCAGGGCCACACAAGACAATGAGTGCCCTGGAAGTATCAGAATTATCCTGGCATAGAATCATAGAATCATAGAATATCAGAGTTGGAAGGGACTT